CAGGTAAGGGATGTTATCTCAGAAATGCTGTGCCCAGCAGTGCAGGGATGAGGTGCAGTATGCACAGCACCCTTCCCTTCAGTGCAGCTGGGGATTTTAGCTTTGCTGTCTGACTGTGTGCTGTGCCAGTGAAACAGGGGTTCACAGCTGCATCCTGGCAGCAGTGTCCAGCATTGTCCAGCCATGCCCAGCCTTGCCCAGCACTGCCTAAAGCAGATCAGCCCCGAGTAAAGATCCCTACTTGTTAAAGCAGCATCACAACTCCAGCAATGAGCTAAAAGTGGGTTTTTGCAGTTGCAGCTCTGTAAACAGAGCCAAGGTTGCTAGTAGGCATCATTACAAAAAAAAAAAAAAAAAAAATACATGACTTCAAGGCTCTTTAAATGAGGTTGTGGCCTTGAACGCTGCAGCTGAGCCTGCAGCTCATGGTTCTTAGATATGGCTTTGCAATCTTCCCAATCTTTGGAGGAGATAAAGAAAATGCAGTTGGGTTCTAAATGACTCATTGACTCGTAGGAGGTTTTTGGTTTGTTTGGTTTTGTTTTGTTGTTTTTTAATGAAAATCTGCTGCCTCAACCCCAAAACTGTTTGGGATGGTTTTTTTGCATAGTATTTAAGAGCTGAGTGCCGTACTTGTTGATTTTTGTGCTTGTAAACTCTTCAGCCACACTTAAGTTACTCATTGCAATATACACAAGTTTTATACATACAGAACGTTCCAGTCCAGCTAAATAACAATAATCCTGTGTCTTAACTGCTCTTGAACAACATTGCCAAATATGGCTTTCAAAGTTTCTACACTGATAAAATTTTAAGCTGGATGAATAAAACCGGTTGAGCAATTTTCAAGGAGTTCAAACCCACTGCTATTTCAGAGTTGTCTTACTGGAGGCATTATTTTTCCTTGAATTCTTTGTAGAAGAAAAAAAAAACACAAACGCCTCAAAATAAAATCAGAGTGCTGTAGAAAGATGTGTACAGAATTGGGGCAGAAATGAACTTTCTGAGACCACCTGTACGAGTGTTAAATCTTCACAAAACATAAACTTCCTTCAGTCTTGAACTTGTAAGTCAGGAATGTGTCCTGTTCAAGAATTGTTTCTGGAGCTGGCACCTGCCCAGTGCACCAGCAGCAGGGAGAGACCCAAGTTTGTACTAACCGGGCAAAACTGTGGATATCACACTGTGGTGCAGAAAAAGCACAAATTTCTTATGCTGACAAAACTTCTCTCTGGTTTTGGTCTTCTACTAATTAATGCAGAGGAGCATAGTTGGGCTCTGAAGTGGTTATTTGTTTCTCCAGGGAATGAAGCTGGACAGTCGAAGAACATGAAAGGTTTAATGCATGTTGTTCCCTATGCTAGTTTGAATGTCGGTCTGAATTTTTGAACATGCAAAACATCATGCAGTGATGAACAAGAACTCATCCAGCTACTGTTAGTATATTCATTAGCCTTTTTAAGATATCTGTGAGTGCTGCCTCTGTGTATGGAGCAGATTCATTACTTGCACTTGATTTACATTTACTTTCAGTTTACCTGTGCAAATGATACGAGTATGTGCATGCACATATAAATGAGGCTCCCACTGATGTTGGAGATAGGTATGAATGTTTATCAGGGGGTAGGACCTGGCTCATGCTGTGCACCCGAAATTCAGGCTCTCCCATGCTTCAGGAGAGCAGAGATTTCTGCACATGGAAACATCCCAGGCTCACTCTGAGAGGTGTTGGTTCTCTAAAGCATGCAAATGTGGTGTTGCCTTCCCCTTCAAAGGTGCATGCTGTTTTTGCAAAACACATGCTTCCACCTGAGAACTAAGAACACTTTGTGTTTTTAAAGTTTTAACTTTTTAAAGTGTAGTTATCAGCTGCCTTGGTAGACTCTGGCATTTCTCTCTGGATGTACAAGTTTTGGGACAAACCTCCCCAGTGGAGGAGGGACAAATTCCTGGGGTCAGCTTTGGTCTTCTGAGCATTGTCTGTATTTTGGACCCCACTTTGGGCACAGTTCCTGGGCTGCTGTTTTGAGGCTGGACAATATTAACATAAAGCAAGGAAATAAAATTTAACTAAGATGTTTTGAAAGCTTCAAAATTTGAAAACTTCCAAAAGTGCATCTAAAAACATACATATGTGCATTGGTAGGTATATGTGTATATGGAATCATATAAAATCCTAAAAAATTTTTCAATGGTCTTGAAGTCTGTCAGAATCATTTAGGTTAGGAAAGGCCTCTAAGACTGAGTCCAGCTGGTTGACCCAGCACCACTGTGTTCATCACTAACCTGGTCCCCAGAGGCCTCTCTTTTACTCATTCCTGAACTCAGCCTTTCAAATCTTGTTTTACAATAGGTGAGGTTTCCTTCCAAAAACTCCTCTTGGGAGACTTCCTGCAAGAGAATGACTCTAGAATTGCTTTTAAGCACGTTTCCAGGACTTAGGTGAGGATGGAGTGGCTCTTTTTGGTACTGCCATGTGCTGTCAGTCTGACTGGGACTGGGTGGTGTGGGTGTCCCTGCTGCACAGAGGGCTCCATGGTGATGCTGTAGCCAACACAGCAGTACAGAGAGCCTGTGGTTTTGGGGGAGCTGGGCCAGGG